TCCAGCCCCCAAGGTCTGTCTCTCTCTCTCTCTCTCTCTCTCTCTCTCTCTCTCTCTATATATATATATATATATATATATAAATTTTTTTAAGTTCTTATTTTTTTGCAGCTGGGGAGATTGAACCCTCTCTCATATTACACAAGTGTTCTGCAATTGAACTAGTGAGGACCATTTTAAAAACTAGGTTTTGGTGCTGGGTGTGGTGGCGCACGACTTTAATCCCAGCACTGGGGAGGCAGAGGCAGGCAGATCTCTGTGAGTTCCAGGACAGCTGGGGCTTCAGGGAGACCCTGTCTCAAAAAGACAAAAAAAAAATAGGTTTGGGAGGCTAGAGAGATAGCTCAGCAGTTAAGAGCACTGGCTGCTCTTGCAGAGGATCCGGATTTGAATCTAAGCAACATGGAGACTAACAATGGTGCAGTTCTTGGGAGATCTGACATCCTCTTCATGGGTACTGCACCCATGTGATGCACTTACAAGTAGGGGAAACACTTATACACAGAAAAAATAAAATACATAAATAAATAACTTTTAAAAACCCACCAGGTTTTCCGTTAAAACCTCCAAGATCTTTGGAGGGTTACAATGAGGATTAAGAGATTATTTCTTTGATAGTTATATTTCTCCAACACCTTCTTCTATCAGGCACTACCACCTCTGCAAAAGCGTGGAAGTAGTGGTATCAGAATTCCATTTTACAAATGTTGAAAAGAAGCACAAGGAGATACAGTGACCTGCTCAGGAGCTCTGGAGCAGTTTTAGGTTAGGAGTGAAAGGTTCCTGCATTCCAGTGAGGGTATCTTCAGAGGGATTGACCTTGTCCTTCATGCCCCTGTCCTCAGGAAACTGGACGCCTTCATATATGATGCAGCAGTACTCAACTACATGGCCCGCAAGGACGAGGGCTGCAAGCTGGTCACTATTGGCTCAGGAAAGGTCTTCGCCACCACCGGCTATGGCATTGCCCTGCACAAGGGCTCCCGTTGGAAGCGGCCCATCGACCTGGCTCTGCTACAGTTCCTAGGGGATGGTATGGCTATACTGGGCAAGGGAGTCCTACCCTGGAGAGGGGAGGGCTGGCCCGGGGTTCCTGGGGAGGAGGAACTGAGAGGAAGAGGCTTGGACTTAGCTTCTTATTAGAGAGGGTGGTAATAACAAGTAACTTCTGACCCCTCCCCAGATGAAATCGAAATGTTAGAGCGGCTGTGGCTCTCTGGGATCTGCCACAATGACAAAATCGAGGTGATGAGCAGCAAGCTAGACATCGACAACATGGCAGGTGTCTTCTACATGCTCCTGGTGGCCATGGGCCTGTCCTTACTGGTCTTCGCTTGGGAGCACCTTGTGTACTGGCGCCTGCGGCACTGCCTGGGGCCCACCCACCGCATGGACTTTCTACTGGCCTTCTCCAGGGTAGGAAGGGAGACCTGGAGAGACTGGCGAGGTGGGGTTTGGGCAGTATGGGCAGAGATGAGAGGGGAAGAGAGCCGGAGGGTACGGGTGGGGGCAGGGAGACAGAAGCAGGTGCAGAGGGCAGAGGGCCTAGTGCAGCGGTTAATGTAGAGAGCATGGGCGGGTGTGGGGGTTGGGTACACAGGGCAGCGGCAAGTGCCTACCGCAGCCCCAGTGCTGGCACCCAGCTAACTGCACCTCGATCCTCGCAGGGCATGTACAGCTGCTGCAGCGCAGAGGCCGCCCCACCGCCGGCCAAGCCGCCGCCACCGCCACAGCCCCTGCCCAGCCCGGCGTACCCTGCAGCGCGTGCGCCCCCAGGGCCCACGCCCTTCGCGCCCCGAGAGCGTGCGGCCGCTGACCGTTGGCGCCGGGCTAAGGGCGCTGGGCCTCCAGGCAGCGCGTCTATGGCCGACGGCTTCCACCGCTACTACGGCCCCATTGAGCCTCAGGGCCTGGGCGAGGCGCGCACGGCACCCCGGGGCGCAGCCGGCCGCCCTCTGTCCCCGCCCGCTGCGCAGCCCCCGCAGAAGCCACCTCCCTCCTACTTCGCCATAGTGCGCGACCAGGAGCCGGCCGAACCGCCCACAGGCGCCTTCCCCGGCTTCCCCTCCCCGCCCGCGCCGCCTGCGGCGGCCGGGGCTGTAGGACCGCCACTGTGCCGCCTGGCCTTCGAGGACGAGAGCCCGCCCGCGCCCGCGCGCTGGCCGCGCTCGGATCCCGAGAGCCAACCGCTGCTCGGCGCCGGCGCCACTGGGGCCCCCACCGCCCCTCCACCGCGCCGCGCGCCGCCTCCGCCCTGCGCCTACCTGGACGTGGAGCCGTCACCGTCGGACTCCGAGGACTCCGAGAGCCTCGGCGGCGCGTCGCTAGGCGGCCTGGAGCCCTGGTGGTTCGCCGACTTCCCCTACCCCTACGCAGAACGCCTCGGGCCGCCGCCTGGCCGCTACTGGTCAGTCGACAAGCTCGGGGGCTGGCGCGCCGGCAGCTGGGACTACCTGCCAGCGCGCGGCGGCCCCGCCTGGCATTGCCG